CACCTTCGTTGTTGCGTGAAAGCAATCCATAATGTATCAGACGCGGATATAATAATATAAAATATGTACCCGGTAGTCGTATTCACCACCCACCAAGTAGGCGATTGCCACAGTTCATGCTATTGCAATGACCCGGGGGACCTCACTTCTTCTTTGCCAGCGGGCCCTCGAGGAGTTATTTAAGACGTCTGGGAGCGCCGTGGACTCAAAGAAGAAATGGAAGCTCGCGATAATTACCTGCTACTTACTTATGTCCTAAGACGTCAGATTGTCGACCGTTTGATTTACGGTCACATTGGCCTGTGACGAACGCCGACAAGATTTTTGACAACCTGAAGACTTTTCACAAACCTACCGCAACTTCTTTATTCTTAGTTAAACAGGTTGCTCTGTGCGTCTTCTGTCTCATACTTTAGTTTTTAATACGAGTTTTACAGCACTTAGATAAAATAAATAAATAAATTACACTTTTTTTTGCCTCAGAAGGGCACTTTGATTTACAATGGCAAACATACATAAATACATAATACAAAATACGTACATACGTGAATACATGCATAAATATATACACATACGTAGATACACAATATTACACAAATACAGAACAGTTTACAACCATGCCACTGTCGGTCGCTACTGTTGCAACACAAATAGATAATAAAAGTGCTGGAGATCGGGCGTGTAATTAGAGAGTAATACACTAAAAATTAAAGAAAAATAAAATGTTCAATGAAGGAGGAGAAACAAGGACGAAAGATGTTTGATAGGAAAGTAGTAAAGAAGAAGCAATTACACCGCACCAGAGCACCCTCCAACAACCACCATCTCATACTCAATGGCAAACTACCGCCGTTTTCTGGCCGACTCAGAAACAGTAATTTCTTAACGATACATATGGTCGCTTTTAAGGACAAGCGGGCTAACCCAGATTTCGGGGGTTTCCAAAAATCTTGACCTACACCAAGAGTAGACATTGGCCCTCCCATAGTAGAAGTTTGGTTTCATTGGTGTGTATATTTGTTTGGCCATAGAGAAAATGTTCCTTGTCTTTTAAAGAAACTGAACAAGAGGCAAAGACTTTTAAACCTTAGATTTTCTCAAAACAGCATTATTCGGGATATCCCCTTTGTGCTTAAAGTGACCATATATAATATAAAATCAGTATGTCCCCCCACCCTCCCTTTTCCCTACCTTCAATTTGTTTGGGGGGTAAACATAAAGAACCCACTGCACCCCAGCAAGACATTGACACCCCTTTTCCCCTTATAAAGAAAAAAAACCCAACAACAACAAAGAAAAAAAACAACTCCAGCTGAAATGTCACACTGGAAGACATACGTCCAAATGCAGATGTTTGACATTTGCAATTTCGTCTGTTTTCTTTCTGCTTTCCTCC